TCATCAGATCCTGGATACAAACCACTCTGGTGTGGTATGCTAATTCGACCAACAAATACAGCACACTTCTCCTGGTACCGTTCTGCGCAAAAGACTTTCGTTGGCAACTCGAGGATCAACGATCACTTCCTGTTCCGCCAATTTCCTCCGTCCTACAACCGCACTTCTGCCGATCAGTCCCACGAATCAAACCGCTAACTATCGAAAGTGTAAACCCTTTCTAGCGGGGGGCTCCTGTAGTGACCTACTTTTGTCGACAGAACGCGATTCAGTCAGTCAGTCAGTCAGCTGCAACATAGGACAAGGCACGTATATGCATCGGTCCAAGTTGCCATACCGCATTAGCACAACAAGATGAACACCGGATTCATAGAAGTAGTTAATTCAGTGGTGGTAATATATAGAAGAAAGAGTGTGTATAAGGAGATAGTACAGGAAGATCGAATTAGTTCGTAGAAAGAAAGATTTGAAGTGATTTTAATCTCTTAGTTTAAAGGAAGACAGAGAGTGCATACACCGACGCCATTGTGATCGATTCTGAGCCATGTCACCAAGAGTCTCCAACCATTGGTTACGATAGTCACGCGGACCCCAACCAGGTAGTCTGCATCTACCAACATGGCTCAGACCAGAAGTTAGTGACTTCAAGCACTGATGCCACGTTTTGGTTTGGCCGCCCCTAACTTTCTTCCAGTCATCCCTAACACCGGTTACCATTGCGCGTCGCGGTAATCGGTGTTCAGGCATACGCAGCACGTGGCCCAATCATCTCAGTCGATGAAGGTTCATAACCTCATCAACTGATTTACCATCATTCCCTAATACCCTGCGTCTAACCTCACTATTACTTACCCGGTGATCCCAGCAGATACCCGCAATATTTCTAAGGCATCTGTGGTCAAATACTAGTAACTTACGAATATCTTCTACTCTTAAAGGCCAAGTTTCGCAGCCGCATAGTAGAACGGAACGAACTGCCGCGCAGTATACTCGTCCCTTAATTGATAGACGGATATGTCGCCTTTGCCATAGATGACGTAAGTTGGCAAAGGCCAAGCGAGCTTTTCGAATCCGTGCTGAGATTTCGTCAGACACCAACCCATTAGGGCTGATCAGACTTCCAAGATAAGTGAAGTTGTCAACGCGTTCGACTACTTCACCCCCTATCCTTAGTTCAGGTGTTGATGCAGACCAGTCCTGAAGCAACAACTTGCATTTAGAGGGAGAAAAGCGCATCCCAAACATTCTGGCATTGTTGCTCAGTGCTACCAAAAGACTCTGCATTTCATCAGCGTCTTCACCAAACAGGACTATGTCATCTGCGTATTCTATGTCGATAAGTGGACCTCCTGGAAGGAGACCAATACTCGAGAATTCAGTCGATGAGAGCGTTATTTCCATCAGTAGATCTATGATGAAGTTAAACAAAAAAGAGAAAGTGGACAGCCTTGACGGACCCCACTTGAGGTTGTAAAAGCAGATGACAGTTCGCCATAAGCTCTGACTCGACTAGTAGTGTTCGAGTACAGAGCTTTCACAAAGTTTATGTACTTCTGAGGTACGCCTTTCAATGACAGACACTGCCACAGAACCTCTCGGTCAACAGAGTCAAACGCTGCTTTTAAATCAAGGAAGACCACTATTGTCGGACGCCGATAAGTATGCCTGTGTTCTAGAACCTGACGAATGGTGAATATGTGGTCGATGCAGCCACGACCAGGTCTGAAGCCAGCCTGATTTTCACGTGTTTGCAGCTCGCGAGTCTTAGTTAGGCGTCCGAAAATGATCGAAGCTAGTATTTTAGATATTATATTAGTTAAACTAATCCCTCTGTGGTTGTCACAGGATGATTTTGACCCTTTCTTAAATATTGGGACGATAAGTGATTGTGATCAGTTAGATGGGATAACGTCTAACTCCCAGATTTTAGCTAAAATATTAGTCAACCTAATCGCTAAAACTAGACCACCATCCTTAAAGACCTCTGGGGCCAATCCGTCTGGACCAGCTGCCCTTCCTCGTTTCAGATTAGCTATAGCCTTTTGAACTTCAGCTAGAGTTGGGGGACCTACTTCAATGTTCCATTCATACTGTCTGGGAATAGAGGGTAGTTGTAGAGTAGCTGAAGGCCAACTGAACTGCTCCTTAAAATGTTCCGCCCATCGTTCTAAACGTCTGGACTGGGAACAGATGAGAGTGTCGTCTTTTTCCGAAATAGTCTGACTTACACTTGATTTATTAATTCCAGTTTCTTTTATTAGTCTGTAGAGTTGTCTTGGGTTCCCTATAGCCGCCGCCTTTTCCATCTCTTTTGCTTTCGTTGCCCACCACTGCTCACGATCGTTTCTTATACTTTTGCCCAACCTAGATCTGATTTGTTTACGCTCTTCATCGTGTTCAGAACCTGATGGGATGAGTTTACGAGAATCTATCAGTGCAATAGACCTTGAAGAAATCCATTGGTTCTTTGTAACCCTGTGGTTTAAATCACTAGTAGATGTCACTGCTGTTTCCACAGCTGCTTGTATGTCTTTCCAATCAACATCTGGGTCAGCCTCGTTTTCAGAACTATCTAAGTGTGACCTCAGTTGTTCCTGGAACCTACTTTTGGTTTTCTCATTACTCAATTCGGTTCTAATGAGTCTTTTTTGTGTGGCTTTTTTGCGTCCAGTGAGGCGCAAGCAGATGCGTGCTCGTATTAGGGCATGGTCGGAGTCCAAGCAGGTACTCCAGAATGAGCGACAATCTTCTATCGACCCTCTCCAACGATGACTGATAGCAATATGGTCTATTTGAGTCCACCGTTGGTTTGGTGCAGGGGGTCGCCATGTTAGACGATGTCTCTCCTTGTGCTTAAAATTTGTGTTTGCTAAAAATAAACGATTGTCTGAGCACAGTTGCAGCAGACGATCACCATTATCTGTTCTCTGTGCCGGAATACTAAAATACCCACCTAAATATCTTTTTGTTTCGTTTAAGCTACCTACCTGGGCATTAAAGTCGCCTGCTACGAGTACTATGTCTGAACGTTTAGCTTTCTGAAGGAGTTCAGAGAGTTTTCTGTAAAATTCATCTTTCACTTCATCCGAACTGCAGTCAGTGGGAGCGTAGGCAGAAACGACGAAAAGGTAACGACGTGTGTGACTATCCTTTCGAGTTCTTACCGAGCCGTTTAGCCGAACAGCGCATAGACGACTATTAACGGGGATCCACTCTAATAGCGGTTGTTCCGCCCTCATGCTTAGTGCTATGCCTACACCTGCAAGTCCACGAGAACTAGCCATCGGGTCGCCAGATACACGGAGCGTGTATCTCGTCGGCACTCCGTTTCGCCGAGGTGAGGTCAAGTAAATGACCACACTAGGATCCTGTATGCGTGTTTCGGAGACACAGCATACATCAATCGTACGAGATTCTAAGGTTTTAGCCAAGGAAGCCTGCTGACCGATTTGGCATAGTGTGCGTACGTTGAAGGATCCAATGTGTAGTTTGGAGTGGGGTTTCAGTAGACCTGGGACAGTGTTTTGCGCACTAGAATCGTTGGCTGTGGTGACACTTGAGGAAGCTAAAAGAGGGAGTTTAGATTTTAAAGTCGATGTAAGAGGAATAATAGGGATTGAAGAGGTAGGTTGATTATGAATACAGTGATCTTGAGTGCTGTTAGAGGTATGAGGGCGGTCATCACTTCCCGGTTGCCCACACCGTGGAAGGGTTCTTCTGGAGGTACCTGAAAAGGAAATTGGATTAGAGGTGGTCATAGTGACCTGAGAGCGTGACCGCAGTGCCCAAGGGACAGCTGCTTGAGGTCGGTCACACACGACCTTTTTATGAGTAATTTTTGTGTTAGCTCCATACTTGTTGAGACCTTACCGCCGGAGACGGATATCCATGGGATAAGGCGAGGTGTGCATTTTTAGGGTCGACCTTTTCTAACCCCTCCCCTCCTTTTGGGAAGGCAGCATCGCTGTTATGCTGGTTGTCTAAAGGAAACACCTTACTGCTGTCACACCTCTGTACAGTCAGCAGTACTACTTCGCCTTCGTACCTTGATTTTGTTGCTTTTAGTCTTACCGCTCTTCAACCGACCTGTCTGGCATGGTAGGACCTTGAGGAACGGTTGTTCCAGCCAGTATAGCTCAGTTGCTTCATCACGATAGGCAAGCCCGACCACCACGTCAAGGTAGCAACAACGGTCAGGCAGAACGCGATTGGTTCAATAAAAACAATTATTATTATAACCAATTGTACCAGTGACTGTTTTACTGTGCTCGTTTGTTTAACTGTGCTAATGACAGCCAATATACTTACTTACTCTCCCGTTGACTTTGAACTTGTACGAATTCGGTTACGCTCAGTAACCACGCTTGTACTCCTTTGGCACGATCTCGGTATTCTTTCGATACCACGAGATCGCCAACAAATACATCTCGACTACAGCCATCATCTGTCTTCTGATATTGGCCTACGGGGATCTTATTGGTTAATTGGCACGTAGTCTTGTAGCGGTGTTCATAGTCAAGCTCAACTCGACACCACGCTACAAGTGGAATGCCTGGCAGCAGGAGACTGAGAAGATAGCATTAAAGAGAACGGGAATGTAAACAGAGAGCAATTGTAATGACAACAGAATTGAGGGAATCATGAAGTATGTAAAGAACAAGTGAGGGAAAACATAGATAGTATTTCATTTACCGTTTCCATAAATTAAAAAAAAACACTGTAATTTTGCATTAAACAATAAATTGGTTCCCCCCACCTAAGTTCTTGTTCACTAGAACCTAACTCCTTATGTTTTCTAATATAAACATTTAATGTATACAATTGTAATATTGACAAATTAAACGCCGTATAAAGAGAAAGTAGCAAACGCAATCAGATAAACTATAGAATAAATGCTGATAATACGGAATATCTTACTGTATTATACTTTATAGGTTCTATGAAATATGAACAAATAAATCTGAAAATCACACGTGAATATACAGAAAACATTAACTCACTCCACCGACTATGCTGAACGAAGTTGACTGCCATACTAGTTGGTGCTATGTGATCTGTTGAATAACCATGTTTGCGACTTAATCTTTTTCTAAAAAGTGTTTGCTTGGCTTCTTCTGTGGCTTCTATGTTTTTCATTTTCGCTTCTACACCCAAATCAACTTCAGGGATACCACATAACATTTGGTTGGATAACATGTCTTCCTTCTGTTGACCGATTGAAGGTTTGAGATACTCAGGAACATCCTGTAGTAGGTCTGAATCTTCATCTCTAAATCAAATATGGAGAATTCACAAACAAAACATGATGACACTTAGCATATTTAGTTGTTTAGAGAATAGATGTATTGAAATAATTTCAAAAACAGGTATTGGATTTCGACTACACTTCAAAGACCAGTAACCCAACTAGTCTACATTTTAATAATGAAATAAAAACTAATTCAAAGTATATGTGACACGATGGGTCACATATAAACTAAATACAAACATTTCTAAGTTTGTGTGCCTAGGCTAGGTAACCAACACATTTCGGATAACTATTGACGAAAACAGAGGTGGAAAAGAACTCATTCTCTATAAGGTTAAAAAGTGATTACATGGAAATCTGTGTATTAGACTATATATTTAACATATACTATGACAGCTAGTGATAGCATACAACTTCAAAAACTTTAGTAGGCAGAATAGGGTTTGGGGTCCATAACTCATTAAATTAGAGGAAGGTGAATTGAAAATAAGCCATAGTATTCACACACAGTCCTACTATATGACCATGAGACTGAACTAAACATAAAACATGTAGTTATACAAGAATAAATGATTATGAAATAGTACGAAGCTCAAATTTAGATATATCATAAATTCCACTTAGTCACTGTGATAGATATTGAACTGTCCTTTAAAATCACATGCTTTTATCAGGGAACGTTTCACAGTATTTGTCCAATTAGTAACAAATAACGTACAACTTGACATTAATGTGTATACGATTAAAGTTGTTACACGAAGAGAAATGGAAAAAGCATGCCAAAAAGAGCAGTCGGAAAAGTGGCTTCGGGGCCCGACTGTTTAGTCAAGTTTCAAAGCAACGTTTCCTGCAACTAATACTGAAATGAAATGGAGTGGTTTGGTATGTTAAAGATTATTATTTAGGTGGTAAGGCGTTCGTGTAAAGATCTGAGTAGTGTGGAAGTACTTTTTGTTTGGATTCCACGTAGCACTGGAAGTAACAGAAGGGTGGTTAAGTCCTAAAAAACGATTGTTGATGTTAGTTTTTTTAGCATGACATAACCTGCTTATTATAGCAAAACCGGTTCCAATCATTAATAATAATAAAAACAACACTGACAGAAATCTGGTCTACTTTATGTGGTCATATAGTTAACAAACACTTCATATAAGGTCAGAAATTTAGTTCTAATTATTCGTAAACTGTTTCAAGTTATTTCTACAGACATAGAATACTTGAAATATATTACCTATTTTGTCTCCAAACAAATATAGGAAAAGCATATTCATATGAAAAGTACTGAAACACACCGGTCTAGGGTGGAGGGTTTAATTAATCCCTTTCGTTTGGCTACTTCCTCCTCGATGTACTTGATCCTAAAATTAAGCATTATAAACAAATAGAAAAAATTACATTTCGGCGTCTTCATCTCTCTTATTAGTTTCTGTGGCAAATGTTTTGGCTAGACGAGCTTCAACGTCATCGTCCTCTTCGGATTGTTTAGCAGATGAAATACTGTTTAGGTCAACTAGACCACCAGTCTTAAGTCTAAATGGGTCGTTGGCGATTGTTAGATTGAGATCTGGAACTTCTTTACCAGTGGCTAGTGCAGACAAGCTTACTCCAGCTGGTCGTTTCCTTAGTTTTTGCAATTCTCTTATTGCTTCAACAACTACCGTGGAGTCTGCAACGACAGGTGCAGTAGAATCTTCGAGATGATCCTCCTCAGAATCTGAAGAGGCACCCAGCTCTGTGGTTTGTCTCAGGCATCGCACCTTACGCGACTTCATGTGACACCTGAAGGAAAAGAAATGAAGCATTTCTTAAGACTTGCTAGTTAAGGAACCTTCAAAGACTTGACAGCATTTTTTGGACGTTGCCCCGTAAGATGATTGTACATGAGTTCAAATGGACTGGAGAAGCTACCTAGAGAGGAACTGAAAAATGACCGAAATACTCATCTGGAAGGGCTTTACTAACAAGCAGCTAACAACCTGAACATCATGAATATTGGTGGCTGTGAGCCTCAGTACTTATCTTCACATTAACCAACGAATCTTTCTGTATTCCGATCGAACATGAGTATCTGAATTCCACCTAAAGATAATCGAACTGATAGTCTCAGTACTTTGGGTAGATCATACCCAGAGAGATGAGATGGAACGAGCCCTTAAAAGGACCAAATTTTCACGGATTCTTAAGGTGATAAGCTACAACCTACTTTCATGTGTCTTAAATCATTAAGAAAGTAATAAATTTGATTCCTAACTCAGTAACTAATTCCAAAACTTTTTAGGGCGGCTCAAAGATTTACATTGAACTTTGCAAAGGGATTTACTTAAGCTTTCAGACCAACTGGGGGACTGTCATACACTAAATGTCCATCTTCTGGTTAACAGAGAGGACAATTCCACTGTTCCAGTCCCCTGGCAGTTTTGACTGATTCAGAGACATGCCCAATATCCTTACCTCATACGTCGATACTCGGTAACTTTAGAATGAGCTAACCAGAAACAATTAATTTCTTATATTTGCACCTTGATTTCAACGAAAACGCTACAATACATCTGTTTCTATATAAATACCGTTAATATGAAGCCTGCTACAATACACTTTTTAACGATTTGCATAGACTAGGACTAAAATGTGAGAAAACATGAAAGAAGAACATAAAATGTCATTAACAGTCTAACCACTCTTGGAACGGCTGAAGAAACACAAACGTAGCGCCTGACTTGTACTACGAGTCTCTTTGTTTCAATATCCAACGTCTTCATAGTGAGCTCATATAAACCTGTTGATTTCTTTGGAATAGCTTCTACAAGTTATGGTCGGGTCATGGGTCTTTCATACCGTAAAATGTAGGTTTTCAGGCTACTCGGTTGTATGAAACGAAGTGTACTTGGTAGTTAAATCGTTCAAATTGTTTCCAGTTTCAGTTTCAGTTTGGAAAGGACAGGAGGCTTAATGGCCTGTGTTTGTCCTGGCAATTGTGTTCTCTCAGTTGATCCAACTTTTTTTTTTAAAATATCTTCGAATGGAGCTTCAACCATGTGTTGAGGTAATGAATTCCTTTCGTTGATGATTCGGTGGGAAAGTCGATAATCAGCTGACAAGTAATTTGTTCTGGGCTTGTGAACTTTTTTGGAGTGTCCTCGTAAATTCTCTTTTTTGGAAGACATGTAAAATGAGGGAATATCAGGTGCAAATTTATCACTAAGCAATTTGATAACTGTAATCAAGTCGCCTCTAGTTCTACGATATGACAAAGGGAATAGGTTTAACTTGGCCAGTCGAGCATCATACGGAAGCTTCGCTTTTCCGGGAATCAGCTTAGTTGCTGTTCTCTGGACTTTTTCCAAAAGCCCACTGTCTTTTTTTAAGCAAGTGCTAGCCGCTTGTATGCAGTACTCAAGTTTAGGACGTATGAACACTGTATACAAAGTCAAAAACGTTTGAGCGTCGACATGAGTAAAAGCCCTACGTATTGACCATAAAGTTCTAAAAGCTTTGGCGGCTATTGCACGGCAGTGTGTAGTAGTCTTCAGATCTTGACTAACGATGACTCCTAAGTCATTATGTGTCTGGACAACAGGTAGCTCAGTGTTATTCATCGTGTATGTATCTGAACCTTGATGACCGATATGCATCACAACACACTTGAAAGTACTTATCGGCAGCTGCCATGTATGAGACCATTCGGATAATTTCTTCAGGTCATTTTGGAGTTCTAAGCTATCACCCTTACATCGTATCGTTCTCCATATCTTGACAGCGTCAGCATATAGCAAGACCGATGATGATAGTAAGCGAGGAAGGTCATTTACATACAAGAGGAATAGCACTAGCCCCAAAACTGTACTCTGGGGCACTCCACTAAGCACAGTTTCCCAGCTAGATAATTTTGAATTTACCCGTACTCTTTGTTGACGCCCAACAAGGAAGTCTTCTATTCACGTCAATAGATTGCTTCCAATTTCGACATTTTTTAGCTTAGATAACAGCCGGTTGTGCGGAACCTTGTCAAAAGCTTTGCTGAAATCAATGTAAGCCACCTCTACAGGTAACTTTTGGTCCTTAAAAGCGCACCAGCTTTCTCGAGTGACTAATAAGTTAGTGAGACAAGAATAACCTATTCTGAAACCGTGCTTTTTTTCCGATAGGATTTGGTTTACATCGAAGTATATAAACAGCTCTTTCCGAATAATCTTTTCTAAGATTTTAACAACCACACTAGTTAGGCTAACAGGTCTGTAATTCTCAGGTTTATGTTTCGTACCTGTTTTGAAGACAGGATTTACTATGGCGTTCTTCCAGTCTTTTGGTAAACGACCCTGCGTAACGGATAGCTTAAAGCATATACTTAAAGGGTTCGCAACGAAGTTAGGTAATTCCTTTAGTAGTCTAGATTGCAATTCATCGGGCCCCATGGATTTACCTATGTCAAGCTTATTAAGCACATCAAAGACATCGAGTTCATTAATGGTCATGCTATCCAGTGTATGTGTGGGGGGGTTGTATGCACTGACGGGAAGGGTGCTTCTATGGTATATACATTGCTAAAGTAGTTTGAGAACACTTGAGCCTTACCAAAGTCATCCTCCACTAATGATGCGGTAGTACTGTCTCCCCATAGTGCAGGAATAATTCCTCTTCTTTTTGTCCTTTGGTTTATATAGGAATACAGGCATTTAGGGCATTCTATGGATTGCTTAACAATTTTTTCTTCGTACAGCTTTCTAGACTTACGGAGGGTCGAGGTACATGTATCCCTAGCTTTTCGATGCTGAGATTTTGTCTCATCAGTCCCCAGTAACCTAAATCTATCCCACATTTTTCTCCTCTCACAGAGAAGGATGCGGACCTCCCTATTGAACCATGGTGGGGAGTTTCTCGGCCCCCTTGGTATAGTCCAAGGAATGTGGGGTGCGGTAACTTTTAAGTATAAATTTCGGAATGCATCCCAAGCCGTTTCAATTGAGGACTCTGGGTCTATTGTCCAATCTGCTAATGATGCCGAGTGCATGATATCTGGTATGCTTGCTTTCCAGACGTTAGGTCTGGATTGAGTTGACGCTTGCTCGTGATTGACAGTTATATGGAAGTCAAAACTGCATGATCACTTTTACCTATAGTTGGCATGTAAAGGAGGTTCGCAACGTCATCCTCATAGTGAGTTAATATAAGATCTAGTAAGGATGATTCAGTGTCCGGGTCGTACCTAGTCGCTTCTTTCACATGTTGCACTAGGGTACATGTTATAACCGCATCAACTAGTTCCTGCTCGAAGGAATTATCTGATGATTCGGTTCGCAGATTTCCCCAGTCTACCATAGGTGCATTAAAGTCCCCTAGGATTAGACATCGACCACTTCGCGACCAATTTTTGAGCCTGTTTAACAGGACATCATTTACTTCACAGCTTGGACTGCGATAGACCAAACCAATTAGCAGCTCTTCCCCTTGAATTACAAGCGGCAACTAACCAATTCACACGTCCCACTTTCATGGGATACACTATCAATAATGACAAACGGGATAGCATTCCTAATGAATAGAGCTACTCCCCCTCCTTTACGTTTATGTATTCTGTCGGTCCTTACTAAAGTAAAACCCTCAAAATCGAGTCCCATATTATCTATAGACTGTGTCAGCCAGGTTTCTGTGACTGCGATTATGTCTGGCTCTGTAGAGTCAATCTGTTCACCTAGTTCCGATCGCTTATTGAGCAAGCTTCGGGCATTAGTGTAACAGATCCGTAGCCTATTTAAGTGACTTCGTGTTTCACCCTGAGTGGCTTCGGCATCATTCTCTGACGAAGCCTCACAACCCGAAAATTTAAAATTTTCAGGTCCTTTTCGCCAGCGTCTAACCTAATTTGTAGTTCTTTTTCGGCTTCCCGTCTTTTTACACGTTCTGCCAACGGCAAGTCCATTCGGACAAAAACTCCCGAACCCTTTAGTTTATGTCCATTCTGAAAATGAAATCCCTTTCGTTCAAAGATTTGAGTACTACTTTAAGCAGTCTAGATTGATTAGGCCTCAAGTTCGATAAACTACCTAGTCTATACACCTTTAGCAAGGTGACTCCGGAGTAATTTTGAGGCATGAGTTGATTAAGTAGTTGTTTTATCAGAACAATGTCATGCTCAAAACGATTTTTTGGTTCGGAGCTTTCGCCCTCCTTAATCCTATGAAAAATGACCGATCCATTACTGTGATCAGCCTTCGATTTTTCGACTGCTTTTGTGGGGGCAGGTTCCCTTTTATATCGTTTTTCTGTTTCTTCCTTACAACCTGTGCCCATTTGTCAACGTTGCTTTGAGAAGCAACCACAGTCGCGTCAAACATATTGTGGGATTCCGGAGGGCTTTCGATGACATGGGAGGTCAGGTTATGTGTCCGTTTAGAAACTGATTGAGCCTTGTGGTTGCGGCTTCGATGTGTTTCTTTCTGGATACCATTTTGAGGACGTGGGACAGAAGAAACTTTTTTCCTCGAGATTTTTGTGCGGACAGTACTCTTTGGAGACTGCTCTCCCTCCTTTGGTCGGTGCGAGTCATCTGTTTTCGAACTCACTTTAGTTTGCCTTACGCCAATTTGCTTGTCAACGGAGCGAGTACTTGTTGATGTGTCGCGACCACTCTTGCCAAAACATTTTTTGGCAGCACTAACCAATGAAATGGCCTCGGTTAGCAAGCTGTTAGCATCCGAACAGCACTGTTGACAGAGCCATACGCAACCATTCCTACTGAACCGTTTGAAAGCTGCAGGCGTTAAATTTGGGCAAACTTCGTGGTACCATCCTTTGCACTCATCGCACTGCATGCCGCTTTCAACAGGATAACGACAGTCCGGGCGTTGGCAATTACTTTTTTGCACTGTCCATTCATTTAAACACGGGTTTTTTTAGAAAGAACTAGATGCAAAAATACTCAGGGACAAAAGTAATCTATGACCAAAAAAAGTGGAAAGCTGTAGATCGTTAGAACCAAAAGTACTAACAGATACTGTGGAGAAACAGAGTACTCAAAAGTACTGACAACAAAACTACTTTAGAAACAAAGACGATAATCTGATCGAATACTTTAACTGAAAGAAACTCAATTAAAGTTAAAAACAGTAGTTTTGATACGTATAAACGATCAAAACAATAGAATTTACTCAGCGAGGAAAAATACCACTGTGCTTTTTGAATAGCGCACTGAAGCACTGAAGCTTTCGCTTAACGGGCTTCCGTGTCTAGTTGCAGTGGATCATCAATACCCCCAGGCAGGAACCTAGATATACTATCGATAATAGAGGGATAAAGAAATTGGTAAACTATAGTAAGACACTATCCTTATTCCTTAAGAACATCTCAAGTTTTCTCATGAAGGACTCATTGAAAGTCGCTTGAACTAGCTCAACCGACAGCGAATTCCAATTGAAGATTAAATTTTTTTGAGTCTTTATAAGTACCTTAGTTCACGAGCAGTGAGCTTAACAGGGCTGACAGCTATCACCGTACCAGAAATGATGTCGACCTATTAAGGTGTTGAAGATTATAAAGTCAGAATGTAGAAAAGTGAAAACAAAAAAGTCAGAATAGGTAAAACAATATTGTATGCGAACTTTATGAACAGGCTGGTCTTTTGAAAACTGATAGACATTGACGGAGTGAAGTGAACAGAAATGAGCTAATAATCACATAAGAATTTTAAAAGAGATAAGAATGGTGATGGTGGTAATGGCAATCTTTCGTATAGATAGTGACTGCGGAGGTTCAGTGACCAGAGGCCTGGCTCGTATTAGGTCGGAAAATGACTGTTATTGAAATGTACATGTGACCAATCCTCGTATATGGTCATCGACGTGGATCACGTAAATGACGAACGGAATTAA